GGATGTTAGCATCAATGGCAGCGGCGGTGGTCCCAACGGCTCTGTTTCCAGCAGCAGGTCTGACTGTGGCTCTGCAGTTTGGGCCAGAGCTCCTTCCTCCCCGGAGGTCAGCCCCAACTGAGCAGCCCGGCAGCCTTTTATACTGAGGTTGCACTGCGAGCATGACCAGCAGGGCTATGGAGGAGGGGCGTATTCTACCTCAGAGAGCCCTTGACATCAGGCAGGCCGGAAGTGCAAGGCAGGGGCAACCTCAGACACTCCCATAGCTCTGCAGCCGCAAGGCCCCTTTTCAAGGTCTCTCCTTGGGTTTAATGTATGTGAGCACGAAGAGGAATCTCATTGAAGTTTCGCCTTCTCTACTACTGATTTTGAAGTCCCTGTTTAGAAGGTAAGAGCCTCTGAGAGGTGTGGAACCTGTTCAGTCTGATCTACCTGGTACCAGCTGAATTCTAGGCATAGACATCATTAGGTTAAGGTGATCAGATTTCCTGCCAAAGATTTTGTCTCATAGGATCACTGGGGGCACTGGGGGGTTGTTATTTTAGGTTTCCCTTTTTCTCCTTCCTTCCCTTTTTCTCTTCTCTTCTATTCCCATTTTCCATTCTTCCCTACCTCCACCAAGGAGGTGTGTATATTGGGGGGGAGGAGGGTTCCTGACACTGTGAGACGCCTTTCCAAAGATGTGGGGCTGGAAGAGTGCTTGGAGACTGATCCCCTCCAGTCATGATTTGGACCGTCCTCTTGGACTTCTACTGAGACCTGTCCACCTCCCAGCTCTCAGAGACTCAATGCTGATTAGCCAAGCTGCTGGGGAGACTCAGGTCCTTTTTTCTTTTCTCTTTTAAGACCAAATAAGTCACAAACCATCAATTAATTGAAGAGTAGTAGCACAATCAAATATAGTCTGTGCAATTCTTGATTCTCTTTAATGTGACCTTTGATCCCAATTTCCTGACCCCAGGCATAGGCAAGCAGGCTCCAACAGGCTGTAGGCTTTGCAACTGCAGGGGCTATGAATTGGGAGTGCCGTTATACAAATTTCAGGAATAACAGCACTGCACAAGAGGGTTTTCTTGTGCAAGAAGGGGCAGTGCAGACAGCTCCTTCTGATGCAAGAGCCTCTTCTGCAAAAATGGTGGCTCATTTGGTATGCAAATGAGGCTAGGCCTCATTTGCATATTTCTTGCGCAAGAAGCCGCGAGTGTAGACATATAGCCTCAGTGTCCGGCTAGGGGCAGGACATCAGACTTGCAGGGGAGGGGTGGGTGTGGCCATGACATCACAAAGGCCTGTTGCAGAATCTCAGCCTATTGGGCCACAGGGGTGGGGAGGTGGTGACCTCACAGAGACTCTGACATCAGCCAGGCAGGACAGAAGTGCAAGGCAGGAGCAACCTCGGAGACTGCCCCCTCTACTCTTTATAGCTTGTTGGGAGGCCCTCACAAAGAGGTCAGGGTATGTCTACACTACCCCGCTAGTTCGAACTAGGAGGGTAGTGTAGACATACCCTCAGTCTGGAATTGCTCTGAAACTGAAGCCCTCTAGTGGTGACCTAGGCCATCTTTTGGGACATCTGCTGAGACCTCTTAGCTTCCCGCTTCTCGGTCTTAGTGCTGATTAGCCGAGCAGGGAGCTCTTGACAGGGAGAAGTTTTCTCAAAGGTGACTCATGGCTGTCCCAAGGCCTTGGCTGATCTCCAGCATGTCATGCGGGGGAACCTGCTGGCAGAGTCCCCAGAAACAGACTCCGATGCCTCTTGGACATGAGCGTGGTCAGGTGGGGCAGGGAGCAGTTTTACCTTAGCACTGAGGGGAACTGGAAAAGGGAGCCTGGAATTCCGTTCTTCAGTCTTCTCCTCCTAGCCTGCGTCCCAGTGGGCTCTCCTTGGTCAGGGCCGAGCTATGCTGGGCCCTTCCCCCTTCAGGGACAGGGGAAGGAGATGAAACTTCAAGACAGGGCTGCCCACAGCAGCGCATAATGAAGGGTGGCAGATGATGTTGCTGTCCTTTCTTTTGTGCTACTGCTGGTGGCAGCTCTATTTGCCCCTCTGGACAGCTGGACAAGCAAAGCCACCGCCAGCAGCGGTGGAGAAAGAAGGGTGATGTGGTGTGGTGTTGCCTCTCTTCCTTGTGTGCCACTGCTGGAGTTGGCATCAGAAGTCACTTATGTCGAATTGAGGGAGGGGGATGGTGAATCAGAATGGGGCTCCGCTGCTCCTTATGGTCTTGACTCTTTCCTGGGACACTCTGGACCTGATGTGGAAGTTGACACCCCGTGGGTGACGGAAGCAGGTCAGGCTCAATAGAGACCAAGGCACATGCATTGGAAATAAACCCACCCTCATTCCTGGGGCCGACATTGTGCTCAGGGTGAATGTCATTAGTCATGGTGCGTGTCACAATTTGTCCTTGTCTCTCTAACGTGGGACAATGTTCATTGTCTGGGCTGGTCCCATCCTTTCTGAACTCCTGGTTCATGAGAGAAGAGAAAATTCCTTTCCGTCCCACCTGGTTCTCTAGGAAGGAGTCTGTGAGACTTCCATGAGCATCAGCTTCTGGATCTCATGGCAGGAGCGGGGGAGGTTGAGCCAGGGGTGAGAGATTTGTGGGTTTCCCTGCCAAAGCCAGGCAGGACCCTGACTTGAAGTTCCATCCCCTTCTACAGGGTGGCTGGGAATTGCTAGCAACTGGTTCTGTTTTTTCTAAAAGTGGTGAATCTCTTGCACGGTAGGAAAAAATAGCTGCAGGAGGGAAAGGGCTAGAGAGAAAAACAATAGGAAGAGGAAAATAAGGGAGGAATGGACAAAGTCGATGGAAGGGCAGTGAGGAGGGAGAAAAGAAAACTGGGAAAAGATTCTCTTCTTCATCTATGTATTCTAAAAATTAATCCATAACCTTACTTTGAGTGCCAATATTACTATTTACATAGCTCCGGCTGGAAAATTTCCAATAGCACTTTTTTCTATTGGAAAATGCCACTCTGAAAAGTGAAATGTTTTGTGGAAATGTATCAATTCTGACACAATTCTGTTTTTAAAAGGTCATTTTTGGAGTGGGTATTTCAAAGGAAATAAATCTTTCAATTTTCTTACCTCTTTATAATAGACAAGTAAAAATCAGAGCAAAATGTTTTGGTTTATAGAAATATGAAGTGACTCAAAATGACTTTTCCCCCTGTGAGGGGGTTCACTCACCACCACAGCACCCACTGCCGTCTGTCCTAGGAATTAGCTCCTTCGGCTGGCAGGGTACCTTCTCTCAGGTGGTGTTTCCCCTCTTTCCTCCAGGCCACGGTGTTCTCTTCAGGGGGGGCGCGGGCCCCGGGCCCCATGCTTCCCGAGGCCCCGTGCATGCACCCTGGCACCACGGCGCATGCGCTGTGTCACTGGAGGGCCCAGCGAAATTTTGCTGCCCGGGGCCCCGCGGCACTCTCATCCGACCCTGCTTTTTGCGCAAGAGCTGTAGCACAAAAAGGAATTATGCCTCATAGAAGAATGTATACCTACACCGGAAAAAGCCCTCTGTTTTGCCGTTTTACTCTCTATTTCCTTGTGTAAAAATGCACTTGAGGTTTGGATGCTCTACAGGTTTTTGCGCAAAAACAGCTGGTTTTGTGCAAAAACCCTATAGTGTAGACATAGCCTAAGAGTATTCATACCACTGGTTGGGAAATGTGCTTGAGAGAAGTCTAGGGGGTACGTTAATACAATTGAAATTTGGAGAAAACTGAATTTTTGTTTTAAGTTTTACAGCACTTTATTATTTTTGTACTTTTTACACCCAAAAATTTCATCGCCTGCCCGGCTACGATTAAGTTGTTTAAACAAATGTTCTGCAATGGTAAAAAAAAATGGTGTGTGTCTGAAAACTGTACGTACTGGGGGGTACTTTAAAAATATAAAGCAGGAAGGTTTGGAAATGATTTTGTTTTCATTCTACTTCAGCACAAGGGGGAACATTGAAATTCAGAATTTCCTGGGAAAGGGAAACCCCTCTTTCCACTTGGCTCTCGAGATAAGGTCCTCGAGGCAGGTGTAGAACTAGGAGGGTGGCCAGTATCAATGAGAAATTCCAGTTTTCTATTGTTCTTGATTTTAGATGTTTTGCCCCTGCTCTGGCTCCTTTGCACTGTGTGACAGGGATGGAACAATATAAAGGGGAGCCCTTAAAGACCATTTTCCAATGAGGCAAGATTCACCTGATGCAGGATTAAAGAAGCTAGCCATATAGATCCCTTCCAAAGACCACCCCTCAGGCATTCTGGGACAAAGAGTTCAGCTGTGGAAATGCAATGCTGCAGAGTTTCTGGGCAGCTCTATGATCAGAGGGCAGACTGAAGATGCTGCAGTTACTCAGTCATGCAAGTTCAGGCACCTTTATTACTGAAAGTGCTAACAGCTTTCTGAATGGTATTCTTCCTGCCTTACCAATCTATCCACTATCCAGTGGAAGAAAATAGTCACAAAATAGTTGTATCCTTTGGTATATATGGTTGTGACAATTTTCTTCCTCTATTTGATCTGAGGAAGTGGGTCTGGCCCACGAAAGCTCATCATCTAATAAACCATCTTGTTAGTCTTTAAAGTGCTACATAGTCCTGTATTTTGTTTCAGCTACACCAGACTAACACGGCTACATCTCTATCACCAATCTATCCACTGACTTTGATCTTTATCTACTCAGGTTTAGCACCCTTTCTCCTGATACGTTATGTATAGAGGCAGGGGGTGGGCGACAGAGCATCTTTCTCCCCCTCACTTCCCTTCTCCTATTTATTTCGAGTTTTCTTATCCCCTAGTCATAACTCTGGTCATCTGAAGAAGTGGGCTGTGCCCATGAGAGCTCGTGATACCATCTACTGTTGTGTTAGTCTATAAAGTGCTACCAGACCGTTTGCGTGCTGTTTTTTTCAGTCATGCAAGGCGATCTGATCGGGGTGGCCCTACCATGAGGAGAACTGAGGCAGCCGCCTCAGGTGCCAGACTGTGTGTGTCTGTGAGGGGGAGGGGGCGGTGCCACTAGAACTCAAGAGTGAAGAAAATTGTCTGCTGCTGGTGCATATGTAGGTAGCAGAGCAGTGCCATGAGAGGAGTAGAACAGGAAGAAGGCCGAATTGAGACCTTTCAAAGTTTTGGCCCAAGCGAGGGGGCATGGAGGCGTTATTTGAGCCTCAGGTGCCAAAATGTTGTGGGCCGGCCCTGGATCTGATGTATGATGGGTCCCTCCATTTCTGAATCACCCCCGTTTTGGGATGATTCGAAAATGACTTAAAATCCCCACAGGGCCTCTTCTTCCTCTCATCAGAGTTTTGTACTTTGTGCCCAGGACAGAATCTCCTTGTTACCTTTGTTTTAATTGTGAATTCATCTGTTTAAATTGAAATAGAACA